ACCTTTGCGCTGGTACTATCGCACTATCTACTCTCACTCAACTTCGGCCGCTTTCAAGACCGACATACGAAAGCCGAGACCGCTGCTGCTACTATTTCCGCTGCTACTTACTGGCGATGTAACTGAATGACGATAGTACTGACACCATTACTGACGTTAATATTAGTCAGAGGTGATGCTGATTCAAGTCAATGCTGGGCTCATGCCCCCTCGATGTCAACGAGGAGTGTGAACCCGAATTTACGCTATTACGGGTAGAGTACATGCTTGAGGCCCGGAGCACATCAGGGCTTGCATTTATTTCCGCCCTCTCACCTCCATCCACCTCCAACTGTGCCAGATGCTACTACGTTTGGACTACGAGGACTAGGATGTTGCTGCTAGAAGTAATAGGCCAATGCTAAGACTGCTAGTACTATTAATCATACCTAATAATAACAATAGTAATATATTGTAGTGCAGGTACAGTAGAAACGGTCCAATAAAAGGTGCCCTGCTACTAGTACTGCTATTACTCACCTTTTGGCTGAGCTTGTTTTTGGGTGTGGCTATATGGATATAGTACTTGATGACATTAAAACCGTCCTTACCTCACGATCAGCTGTGGAGATACGGGTCTTGAGGGAGATGCTATGAAGGTAGTCAAAGCAGAGGGTAAGCAGACGTTCCAGGCTCTTATCAAGGTCCTGATTTGTTGGCGAGGAGGGTTGACCATCCGACAGAGAGGAGTCAATGCTTGGCACCAGCCTACACAGAATGGCCAGGAGATCGGCGTGAAAATGGGAAAAGGTGAGTTTCTGGGATTCTGACACATACTGCCGTTGTTGAGCAAGGATGGTGACAACTCGAGTGAACCAGTCTACTGTTTGAATTGGGCCATTGGTCCTGAAGGAAAGAAAAAAAATTGGTAGAAGAGAGCATTGGTAAATGCCAATAAAGCTTTAAGTTTCAGTCACGCGGCAGGCCAAAATGAGTCAACAGTGAGAGAAAAGCTCCAGAAACCAAATCGCCAGACTGATAAAAAATTGGCGCATTAAGGTAAGCCAAGCAGACTGGATCGAGAACTGAATGCAGCATTAGGGTGCCAGACTTGCCATAGGGGGGATGAACAGTCTATCACGCCTACTGGAAGGTTACACAAGATCTCAACGCATCGGCTCTTGCAGCGGCGGAATGGCTAGAGCACCCACCCGAGGATTGGAGTTCTGCTAGAATCC